CAGAGCGTCGAAAACCAAGAAAAATTCTATGAAAACATAGCTGAATGTTGATCGATTTTAACCTCAAACTCCGGACTCTTTCTCGCTATTTTCGCCGTCGAAGTACTCGCCAACGTTTGCGAGTACTTCGTTATCGGTCTCAATGAAGTGTCTATTTGTTCCTTTGAATCCTGCGCGTCTTTTTCTTTCATATCGTGGATGTGCGCTCCTCAAGCCTTTCCTATTCTGCGACACAGATTTTTTAGGCGTTCTTCTCGTAGGTCTATCCATGTTGAATGTCGAAAACGAATTAAAAATTATAAAACTGAATTACCACAGGAAAATACACGCGCAGGTAGGAACAAGACAAAAGAATAACGGTTGAATGGGGAGATGGACGCGGCAGATGTTAATCTCCGTTCCCCTTTTCTAAGGAATGTTGTAGTGACCGAAATAATTCGAATTTCGATTTAAAAATTCGAGAAAATGTTTATAACAGTGTATACCACCGATGATGCAAAAAAAGAAAACGATTTTTTGAAAATTTCACTCTGTGATGATTCCTTAAGAATAGCGTTTACATTTTTTTATCCACATATTAACATAAAATTTTACAAATATATCACAAAATAATTCAAATAAATTATGTTCATTACAATTAAATGGTGGGATATCAACATTTTTTAAATAAGCTAGTAATCTTTTTTTAACAAACATTTATTGGCATTTTTTGGCAACTTACTGTGTATAATTGCACTGGGCTTCGAAAAAAAGCTTAAAAATGTTTCGTTTGGTTTCAATAACGCTTTAGGACAATATGCGCGTTCTTCGATTAGTGTGCTATGTACATTATTCGACAAAATTAATTCACTTCGGCACGTTGCACACTTGAGCTATATCACTCATGCTACTGCTTTCACCTTCAACTTCTTCTGGGTCCTCTTCTTGCTCTTCATGCAATTGCGTATTGTTTGTTTTTGTAATGATCGTAACAAATTTTTTTAATTTTAAAATACTGAATGGGAGGAGGCGAAATTAATGACCAACAAGGTTTTATAGCCGTTCTTGTGGGTCTACAGCGTTCTTGCAAACGCTGTGCATGTTGGATTAATGTTACTTACACCGTGCATGCGAATACAGCCAAAAAAATTTTCCAAGGGATCCTGGTTCAAATTTCTTGGCAAGAGAAATTTAAAACCAAGACCTTGTTGTTTCTTCCATAACGCCTTTAATCCCTGAAGTGTTTTAATCCAATTTCGTATTGTCGGAGGCACAAGCTGTTTTTGTTCAATCTCGTTCTTGCTTAGAAGTTTAATAGTCCTTAAAACATCGATTGCCTCATTCCAAAAAGTTAAGCGAGACAGCGAGTTGATGATAGCACATCGTAACATGTTATCACTTTGAGGATGGATGGTTGATCCGTTTACTGAGTCAAAAAGTTTGTCTGCAAATAACAAAAACTCTGTAGTACTCTCTGCCGTTGGTGGTAATTTTCCAGGTGCTAAAATTATAAAAACAAAATAACTCAATTACATAAAGTTAAAAAAAAATTATTATTTAAAATATTTAGTGTAGTAATATCTTTCCATGAGCCTCTCATTGGTGAGTCCGTCTTCCATACAAAGTAAACGTCATGACTTAATAAATTATTCCGCAAACCCTTCAGAAGGAGGAGCGTCGGAAAGGGAAATAATGTCGTTATTATCAATGGAAAAGCCTACACCTTTGTACTCATTTCCTCTTCGAAGAGCTTCCGATTGTGAATCTAGGCGCAGTTGATTAATCGCTTTAACGTTTGTGCTCATCTGATCACAGACAGTGGCTATTACATGGAGGCCAATTTTTTCGCATGCTCTTATTATCTCTTTAATATCGCGGATGACATCAGCAACTGACTTACCATGTTCTGTGAAAAAGTTGGCAATTGGTTGCTTCCATTTTTTGTGTATTCCCCTTAGCATAAACACCATAGCATGGTCGGCAAATTATAGACATTTTTCTTCGCCGCAATCTACAAACCCCTCGATTGCATCTCTCTTCACATCATAATACAAACTAGGTTCTATCGCCATTTCATCAAAAAGAAGAATACAATATTTATCAAATTATTTCATGGTGGGCACTAATTCTTCCAAAGTCTTCAGGACAGCCATATTTATACCGGTGTTGAAAGAAACTTTATTTAACAGTGTCATCAAAGTTTTACGGCTGGGAAGACCAAACATTTTCCTTAACAAAGTGTACGCTTTGGGGATTTGCTTAGATCTTGTCATCCAAGATATATCGACGCCCAGTCTTCTTCCTCTTCTGATTCACCAACTGATTCATAAAAAATGTGTAAGTGGCGTCATTGACACTCGCCTTAACAAATTTTTCAGTAATAGATAATTTCAGAGCGTTCGTTATTCTTGTCTTGTTAGACAACTTTTGGTAACGTCGCGCACTTCTGTTGTAACGCAAGGCTACTTCATAAAGTTTCTGTGCATGCACACTTTGGAATTTCTCTTTCTGGGTAACGTTTACCCTTGCCAAAATGGAATCTGGAAGAAAATGAAAACAAAATCATTTTAATTTATAAGTTTATTAAATTCAAAATACTAACATCAATTATTGGTACAAATTATTAATAAAATTCAATAAAATACCTGATATTAAATCTTTCCATAATTACTGCTTTTTAGTTGAGGAACAAATTCGGTAATAGGATCTATTTCACTTTCACCAGCCTTGGATGTACTGGCCCGGGCACTATCTTCTATCGGGGCTTTCCCAGAATTCGAAGATACACCTTGCTGTACATCATTACCATCGTCATCTTGCTGTTTTGGATTTCTAACCCCTAATAACTGAACCTCACTGTATTTGGAAAACTCTTTTGGTACTGAAAAAGATTATTTTATAAATTAGTGCTCTTCAAAATCACCAACATATGTTAACTTTATTCTTGCTCAAATTCAAATTCATTTTATTTACCATAAATATTAACAATATTTATACAAATACGTGAGCGGTTTTAACTTTTACAGCTTAAATCTTTTAAATGTCAGATTCTCTTTTAAATTTAAATAATATATAATTCTCATCTGATTTATCAATAAATGCCAAACATCCAAAACGGACAACGTAGTTGGAAAGAGTAAAACTTTAAATTTAGAAAATCATTCCACCAGTAGGGGAGAGAGAGGCACATTGATATGATTTTTGCTTAACAGCAGCTGTTACGTTTAGGGAATATTGAACAGTTTTGCGACTTTTGTTAAAATTTAGAGTAGGCCTTTCCGTATATCCCTTAATTGTCAAAGTTCATAAGGCTAGGCGCAAATTGAGACACGTGTGACATGACGTGACACGATCGACATGACGCGAACACATGGCACGTGTAGCGTTGACATTCGCAAATTTCCACGCAGTTTCTTACGGCTCGCAGTCACTAGCAACCCGGTTTTAATGTTACAATGAACGAGAGAAGCAGAAAACTGGAGTTAATATTAAGCTCTGAATCTGATTCAGATTGGAGTGCTGAAGGGGAAGAAGTATTATTGTACTCGTTGAGGAAAAAAACTGAAGTCTCCTTACAACTTTTACTTATCTAAAAGAAAAACTCATGGTCAATTTAAAATTACTTCCGAGTTTCCGGATGATATCTTCACCAATTACTTTCGTTTGAACCGAAACCAGTTTGCCGAAGTACATGGAATGATTCAACAATTTATTGATGCAGATGGATGTAATGCTCAAAAGCCGATAGGGACTGAAGAAAAACTTGGAGTATTCTTGAGTTAAGTAATATAAAACAATTAAGTTTATTAAGTACCCTGTAAGTTTCAAACATTACTTTATTTCAAATAAACAACACAAAATATGTTTTAAAAAAGGTCACACTACACAAGGTATTTAACAAATATAGTGTTAATTATCGAACTCATAATTGCAAAAATAGTTAGTTAGACACAAACTCTTGGATTCAGTAGAGGTCACTGGAAGAACTTCATTCTCCTGTTCTATCTGAGGCGTATGGAGGATGGAAAGTAGTGTTATTTGCACTTGAGTCATAAAAGGATAAGCACGTAGAAGGTGGCTGGCTGTAAGAGTGTATAATTTCTGCTTCTGCTCCTGACACTGCCTGAAAAACTTGCGATCTGACCCTATGCTGATAAAGGGGAGACATTCGTTTTGTTACTTGATACATGGAAATGAAAAAGTTATATTTGGGGGTCGTCCGTGTTCGCGTTTTCCTCCAATAGTTTTCTCCTATCTTCCGTTCGTTGTCATGCCCTTTTCTCTCGCTGTTGAATCGATCGACTCGTAATATCACAGATGTCGACAGTACCGTGTTTTTTCTTTTTCCGCATAGCCTGTGCTCTTAAATTTGGAGTCTGAGGTGATGATACAGTTGCACGCTTCCTTTTTCCATCACCATTGTCTCCAATAGATCCTAGGGGTTGCTCAACGACAGTTCCTTCATCATCGATTGAAAGTCTTCGATTGCAATCCACTTGAGTGAACTGTGCGTTTTCACTACGAGCAGATCCATCGTCCTGACTTTCCGCCAAATTTTCACTTCTTGATGGTTCTGATGGAGGATGGGAATTGTCACCACTAATCTCCATATTTCCTTCACGTGGGCCAGTTGTCATGTGGCCTTGAACCGTTTTCAAGGAGTTTTTGAAACTTCCACGGCTTGACGTGCTGCGGAGCAGAGCCACTTTTATAGCATTTTTTCTGCCGTCGTCGAGCATCTCGAAAGCTGCCTTTCAATTTCAGCGAAATATTTTTTGATTCTTCTTCTGTAACAAGCGTTTTATGATTTCTTTACTTATTATATTATTTTTAAGAGAAATAGTTTTCAAATATTTTACTACTTTTCAATTTCTTTCTTTTCAGTACTTAATATATCTTTTTTTTAGATATTTGGCCAGTGCTATAAAAGTATGGCTTACAACTACAGAACGTATGCAACCAAAATACCTTCCAGAACCTAGGGCAAACGTATGAGAGTCAGTTGCTATATTTGAACAAAAATGGCAATTTCCGCATTGCGTTGGAGCAGTGGATGGAAATCATGTCGTAATCAAAAGGCCTGCCAACAGCGGTCTTACTATAATTATAAACACACATTTTCTGTGGTTTTGTTAGCTACAGTTGATGCAGATTACAAATTTATCACCGTTGATGTTGGAGCCATGGGAAGATTTGGTGATGCAAATTTGTTTTCGAGCAGTGCGTCGGCACAACTACCTACGATTGTTAACCTAGTATCGTACGTTTTTGTAGGAGATGAAGCGTTCCCTTTATCAGAAAATCTAATAAGACCGTATCCAAGAAGATATCTAACTGGTAATTATGCACATCAAGTTTTCAATGCTCGGCTTTCCCGAGCTCGACAGACAGTGGAATGTGCGTTTGGTGCACTAGCTTCACGGTTTCGTGTCTTTAGAAGACCCTTTGAAAGTAAAATTGACACGGTAACTGACGTTGTACAAGCAGCTTGTGTTTTACACAACTATTTACGATCGTCAGTACAGATCACAAATGATAATGTTGATGACATTGAACGATTTCTAGATAATCAATTAGTTGCAGTACGTGGTAGCAATGTTAGAAATACGTCAAAAGCGTTTAAAGTAAGGGAACAATTCACGGAATACTTCAATAATTGGGGAGCTCTCCCATGGCAACTTCAAACCGTTATACTTGGAAATTAGTAACATTACACACCGTTGGTGATTGCTCTATGATTATAATAGAAAATGTTACTTACCACCTTTTAAATTCACCTCCTTTGAAATCTCTTCTCTATGTTTTCTTACTAATTCTATAATTTCTCTTCCATTTTACGAAAAAGCAAATAACACCAACTATACTCTGTTTTTTAATTCGGAGGATTGTTTTCAACTTGAAACGCCAAAAAGAAGGGTTGCTATTGGTTTTAAGCAAAAATTATACAAGGAAGTTCGAGATGTTACCGGCCAAAAAGTAGTTATGAAAAATTACACTGTGTAAACGTGACTTTTCATTTTACTCCTCCGAATTAAAAAATAGAGTACCGTATTTTCTCGCATCTTATCCGTACTCGAATCTAATCTGCACCTCGATTCTAAAAATGCATGGTGGAAAAAAATATTGGTCTGTGAATCTAATCCACATCCGATTGTAATCCGCATTTGATTTTAAAGCATATAATATTTGTAAAAAAGGTGCGGATACTTTACCTGATACCCAAATATTTTTGTCTCGATACTTTCTTTCGATATAACTACCGAGTGGAAGTATCGATACGTCCGGTATTATTACAAAACTAATCCAACGCGTGGCGCGTGCTGCGCGAAAAACTGTGCTACTGCCACTGTGCCGTACGTGTTCGTGCCAACGCGAGTCGTGCTGCGTCGCACGTGCCTCAATGTGCACTTACAATTAGCCTAAATGTATCATAATTTAGACACAAAAGATTTTTCAAAAAAAATCGTCTTCTGTATCAAACTACCTCGCTGTGAGCACCCTGGTGGCACANTGATGAAAAATTACACTGTGTAAACGTGACTTTTCATTTTACTCCTCCGAATTAAAAAATAGAGTACCGTATTTTCTCGCATCTTATCCGTACTCGAATCTAATCTGCACCTCGATTCTAAAAATGCATGGTGGAAAAAAATATTGGTCTGTGAATCTAATCCACATCCGATTGTAATCCGCATTTGATTTTAAAGCATATAATATTTGTAAAAAAGGTGCGGATACTTTACCTGATACCCAAATATTTTTGTCTCGATACTTTCTTTCGATATAACTACCGAGTGGAAGTATCGATACGTCCGGTATTATTACAAAACTAATCCAACGCGTGGCGCGTGCTGCGCGAAAAACTGTGCTACTGCCACTGTGCCGTACGTGTTCGTGCCAACGCGAGTCGTGCTGCGTCGCACGTGCCTCAATGTGCACTTACAATTAGCCTAAATGTATCATAATTTAGACACAAAAGATTTTTCAAAAAAAATCGTCTTCTGTATCAAACTACCTCGCTGTGAGCACCCTGGTGGCACACTGATACAAGTAGGTAATTAAGAAGAAAACCAATACTTGAAAATATTTATTGAATTACAATATTTGGTAAACTAGGAAAACACAACTAACTAGCCAGGCGAGCTGTACCACCAGCAGGAATCAGGCTCGGAAGTTTAAATATAATATCTTCGCGTGATACTAAACTGATATCAGCATTTTGTGGAAAAGAAAATTTGTTGTTTTTGTTTTGCTTTCGTAAAAACTTAATTTCTATTTGGTGTTCATCAAGTATACGCAGTACTTTCCCCAAAAAATTATTGACAGTTTTTTTGGTGCAAAATTTTACAACAACAAAATCATCAACATTCAACAGATCGTCATTACACAGTGGTGGGAATTCCTCGTCGCTGATATCATCTACTGAATCAGAAGAAGACCCTGACTCCTGCTGTGTGTACAGGGTGTTTCAGGAGAAAAGGGAAATATTTCGAGGACGTATTCAGAAGGTTAAAATAATTCAAATAAACCCTTATGTTTAAGTTATAGAAATAATTGATGTAAATAAAAATTAATTTAAAACATTTTATTTTTCAAGTAATGAACAATTAACAAGGATTTAACAATTATTTTCAAAAATTCCACCATCAACTTCGATGCATAGTCTGGCTCGTTTAATGACAGATCGCGTAGAATGTTGAATGCTACGACGATTGTTTCGAATAGTAGCTGCAGCATTAAAAATTCGATCTTTCAGTGCGTCCCTCATTTGAACTTTTGTCGCATAAACCAAACTTTTCATCCACCCCCAAAGACAACAATCGAGAGGATTTAAATTAGGTGATCGGGCAGGCCAATTGTGTGGATCACCACGCCCAATCCATTGATTTGGAAAGTGAGTATTTAAGAAGTTTCTAACTATTCGATTAAAATGTGGAGCCGCTCCATCATGTTGGAAGTATAATCTTTGTCTAACATTCAAAGGTATATCACCCAAAATTTCTGGTAAGTGAACTTCCAAAAACTCTAAATACCTTTCTCCAGTAAGACGCTGATCCAATACAAATGGACCGAATAATCGATCGCCTAACATACACAGTAAAAAATAATTACATGGTCCAGTACTGGTAATTTATTGCCATGGATATTCATGTTAAAAGTTACACGTTTGTAATAGTAAAATAAATACATATCTAAACAAGTGTATTTTCCATTTCTATGTTTGTACTTTTCGTTTGTGCTTGATGTAATTTTACTTCTTAACCCAGGTAATGTGCACGTATTAACACGTAAAAATAACTATATTTATATGTAAAATTATTACAAAAAACTTGTGCTATGAATATTGTAGTTCGTCTGCTATGTAATAATGCATTTTCAGCCCTGTACATTTACATAATTTTAAGCTTAAACAAATGTAAAAATGCGAATGTCATTATGGAAGTTCTACATATCCAAATTCGTTTTATGTCAAAATTATGAAAGCCAATAGTTTTTCCACCATTGTTATAATGTTTTACACTACAAAAGCATTAAAAGAATAGTGGAAAAAGTGTAAACTTTTACAATTTTAACAGACGGCAAACTTGGAACACAAAAACTTTGTGTAAAACATTATCTTCTCGCTACGATGCCGGTGTGCTTTCGTACTAAAGAGCACCAAACAACCAAACACTAAATGGACAGATTATAAGAGACCGTGTATAACTTTCGACGATTCATACGTTATTAGACCGTACTCGGCACAATGATGTCAAGGCGTTGTGCGTAGTAGCAACGCTATTCGGCCGACCGTACGCAGAAAGTGGTGGTGGGGCCATCACGCATTTTACATGTTCGTAATAGTAATTTTAACCTTCCGGTGCTCGCTCCTTCAATTGAGATGGAACGCTCGCGCGCGGACTCTCAGTCCGCAAGCATAACTTTTTTTTTTGACATGCCCAACTAAAAATAAATAAAAAAACCTAAGTAATTAGAAAAAAGAAACATTTATTCATAAACTACATTCGTTTTATATTGCAAAAATGGGAGCATTCCATAAAGAAAATACAATTCTGTTAAATTTAGACCAATGTGAACCACGTTAATTCTTATTCTTGATGACACGGATGACATATCATGAGAGAATGTTCTAAACATATATATTTATGACACTCTACGCAAGAAAAACGTGTAGGCCTATTTTTTTTTCGATCACAATACGAACATCTTCCCCGCTGACCTTCCTGCGGTGGCTCAGGAACAGGCGCTTCCAAACCGAACATTTGTCTGATTCTTTGTTGCATAACCCTAGGAATAGATTGAGTCACTCGTCGACGATTATGGCCTTCCACTAACTGAAATGCTAAAGCTCGTAAAAAGGTTCTTCTTCGTTGATTTGAAGAGTTATTGATAGAAAAAATCACGAATGAGTTTATACCAGCTACGTTTAGTAACGAGTAAAATATTACCATGGGCCATCTTTTCGTGTTACGCGCACAATTATACGCCGCGCATAATTTATCTACACAGTCGACACCACCTTTACTCATATTATAGTCCATTATCATATCTGGTTTCTTTGTGTCACTATCTATTTCATCATCATGATGCATGCTCGACAGAAGCAACACATTTTTGTTTTTTTTCGGTATATAAGACACTAAAGTACAATTTTTCCTGAAAGCAAACATACTTGACGAAATTGGGCGACCCAATGGACGAGAAAACTCTAGAGGTAACTCTTTTTTATTTTTTCTGATAGTACCTAATAGAGTCAGTTTAAAATCTGTATCAAGGGAAGTAAGTAGGTTCATGGATGTGAACCAGTTGTCAACTGTTACATTACGACTGGTACCTTTTATAGGTTCACATAGTCTTTGCACTACTGCAGTTGGTGAATTGCTAGCCTCAAATTGTCCACTAGGTTGTGTGCCTACATATACCTCCATGTTAGAAGTGTAGAATGTCTTTGCATCTGCCATAGCAAATATCTTGATCCCATACTTATTGGGTTTACTGGGGATGTATTGTCTAAAATTACATCGCCCCCGGAAAGCCTCTAACTTTTCGTCAATAGTCACAAACTGAAATGGTGTGTAGGCTGTTTTAAAATTATTGACAACAAGCTCAAACACTTCTCTGATAGGTGCTAGTTTGTCAGTTTGCTTTCTTTCATCTCTAGTTGTTAAATTATCGAATCGTATATGAACTAAAAGAAATCTAAATCTACACTGAGACATGGTCAGCCTAAATAATTCTACACCTGTACCATTTTGACTCCATAATTCGTCAATATTTAGACGATTTGATTTTAGAACCCCGGCCAAATATAACAATCCAAAAATTGCTTCAATTTCTATAAGGTCGGTATCTTTCGCGTCCCTTTCTCGCTGGTAGTTTGCCCTAAATGATTGAATATGCTGATTTGTGTAATGAACAATCAAATTTAGAACTTGCTTTGAAAAAAAATACTTCCAAATATCAATTTCTCCTTTCAAATCTTTTGCGATTCTCTTTAGACCTGGTAGCTGTTTAATTATATTACTTGGCTTTGTTTTTACACATTTATTTGGGGCATGCTTCTTCCATACTGTTACTTCATCTTTGCCAATGTAGGTTGTCTTTCTGAAAAATCATCTTTTGAATCCGAAATTTCCTGTTCTGTGTCAGTATCTAAATCCTGTCTTTCTAAGTTATCCTCTTCCCCAGATTCTTCTTGGTCGTC